CTAGATTTCAATGGACAAATATAGTTTTACTACTGCCTGTACATTCATAGACATTTTCAGCGTCTTATAGATCCTATTCCACCTAATATTCTATTCATATCATAGTTATTTTTATTAACTAACTAATTAGCTATTGTTATCGACAATGAATAATATATATCGCATTCACAACTTTTTTCATGATTCTCATTTGAAGAAGAATACTTTCATTTCATTTGTATTTTTTCAAATGATATTGCAACTTAACCACCAATATCTTACTATATTAGAAACAAAAACCACACTTAAAGAAAGCACCAACATTTGCCATGTGATATTTCCACATCATATTTTTAAAATAAATTTTTATTTTTACATCTCTTAGAGTTAAAAGACAAATGCAGTCCAAATTCACCTCTACCTCCTATTTTCACCACAAAAAAAAAAATCACGAGTTCATAAAAAATCCAAATCCTCATCTCTATGTCCACGAAAATCGACTCCCTAATCAATCCTTCTCCACAATTAAAAATAAATAAATTCCCCAGCAATCATCAATTGAGAGTATGTGGTGAAATATACTCCTTTCCTATTAGCATATTCAATATTTTCATTAATGATGATCAACTACATCTTAATCGAATAAAATTTCAACTTCAAAAAATATTCTCTTTACCCCTCTATATAAACACAAAGGAAAAAAAAAATTCTTATTGATCTTGCTTCGGCCGTTGTAATGGTGGCATTACAGGTATTAAAATTTAAATGATTTTATTTCCACATATCATTGGTTTGACTTTTATTATTTTTTATTTTTTCCGTTCAGGAATAGTGTTATTACTATTATTTTTATGCGTCCATCCGTTACAACTACCGTAGCCGTTGTCAGGTAATATAATGTGATTTCTTATTTAGTTAGTTAGCTTAGAATTTTTGTATGATTTTAGTTATGTTTGGATTGAATTGATTAATTGGATTTTTATTACAAAGTGTGGTTTTTTAAATTTCTTTTTTATGTTTCATTCAATTAGAGTGGTTTTCTTTTTTTAATTATGGAGTCTCATGTTTTTTTTTCGTATATGGCCAGTTATGAAGTGTATTTTTTCTTTGTTTAATTGCTTTTGATTTTGTTTCATACTCCCAGTTGACCAATTGTTGTTATTATTAATATTATTATTATTATTATTTTATTTGCAAATGAAGCGCGTTTTTTTTGTGTTCGGGGTTTCAAGAATATTCTTTTTTGGATTTGGTTTTTGGACTTTTTTTTAGTTTCTCATCATATAAATAGTTCAGGTCGCTTCTTCTAACTAATTTATGAGGAAGCCTTTTATAAATTTGAGGTGGAGAGGGAAGGAATGATGTTTCTACGCTTATTTGTATTTTTATACATCATTTTTACCTACAGAAAAAAAATCTCAAATTTTAATGGGCTATCTTTTACTTCTTTTTTTTTATTTGCCATGGTGAGATGAGTTCTTTTTTGCTATTTCTTGAAACCTATGCAAATTTACATTATTTTCATTCTCATATTTGTGATCAACCAGTTTCAACAATTAACCAGTTTAAAAATCATATTTTTGATATTTTACTACCTATAAACTTTTGGAAGAAATAGTTCCAACAATTAAGCGTATACCCGTTGGAAGAAACTAACTACAAAGCTATTATAAATCTCAAAAACTAAGTATAGATTTGGCACAACCAATGGAGAACATCAATAAATTATCTTACTAATATTTAAACTTATTAGGATGTTTTTATATTTTGTCTAGCATTTACTTCAAGACATATATTTGATCAAGTTTATTTATATTTAAGAAGTAACACTTATAAAATATTTCTAAAATCTTCAAACATTTCTAAAACGTACCGGGCCAAATACAATTTATTTTTATGCCAAATACGAACATCACACTTATAAAACATTTCTAAATTTTTCAAATATTTCTAAAATATATCGAGCCATATACAAAATATTTTTTTTCCAGATACAAACATTTCTAAGATCTACAGATATAATGGACCAGGGTCGCGCATTGCACGACCAGACATCACTAGTATATATATATATACGAAAATGAGTTCAAAATGAATGCAACTTAATTATCAAATATTGCGTGTGCAGAACTGCGAAAACGATAGATAATTATAAAATGATAGGTAAGAAATTTCTCATAAAATGTGTGCTTCCTCCGCACATGAATCATGACCAAAATTAAACTTAAATTGCGTACAGGAACTATTGTAACCTTTCCACCACAAATTCCAACCAAACTAGGAATGAAAAGTAAAAATGTAACGATAAAATAAGTGCTTCTTTTTTATATCCAAAAAAAATTAAACTGAATAATAATTATGAGACGGAGGAAAGTATTAGTTTCAGCAACGAGACTGCCTAACATCCTTCACTTTCAAAATAGTTTTTACTAATTAAAATAGGGTATAATGAGACTCTTTTTTTGTGGCGTTCAATGTCATTTTTGCAACTTTCCAATTCGGATAAAACTCAGAAGGTTACCAAGCCAAGTGTGAACTTTGATCCTTCTCAGTTTTGAACCACACCGTACATATGTATTTGTCATCACTCATGAAACAGAAGTCAAAAAACGAAACTATATATTGCATGCATCATGAATAGTAGTACTACTAGTAGTATTTGTGTCACACAATTGTTAACATTGGAAGAAATGAATAAAATTAGAACTATACTCCCTGTATTTCAAAAACATATGTTATTTTAGGATAGTTTTTAACAATTAATTTGTGTGAAATATTTTTTATGTTACTCATTAGATGTATTGTAATTATAAATAAGACTAAATCCTAGTAATAAGTTGGCATCATTATCATTAATTAAAAGTAAAGTTAGAAAATAATTGTTGATTTACTTTAAAATCCTAAAATGACATATTTTAAAATATTTTTTAAAAAAAATTAAAACGACTAAGTATTTGAAATATAGAAATACTGTATTGAGACGAAAACACGTCCCAAATGGAACGCTTACGAGGTTCAGACATGGACATGACGATAGCAGACTAGCCACCAGCACACCAACTCCACTTATTAGTTATTATTAATTTATTACTACTATTTATTATTATTCACTCCTTCGACCCCCTACTGAACTACTTTCAGCTCCTCCCACTTAATTCCCACCACAGTGATAAAATAAATAACAGTACAAGAAAAAATAAATGAAATTATTAGTCATCCTATATACCAGGAAAATCTTCGTAATATAAATTCTTTAAAATATAAAAAAGGAGTTTCAATATTCTATTATGTTAAAAATACGTGCTTTAAGCTAGTTGTTGTGATAAGTTGATAACGGGATAACAAAAAGCTGTGTGAATTCATTCACCAATAATTGAGCAGGTGAATTATTTGAATAAATTGATATCGAATAAAATACATACATAAAAATAGGAAAAAAAAAAAAAGAGATAATCTTGCAAAAGTTATAGCCATATCTATCTTCTTCTGACCTACTATATTTTTTGCATGCATGGCCAACACTTGACCCACTCACGCCCTTTGCTACCTCCACATGTGTACTGCTTCTTCTAGATGGATGGATGCAATAATTATGGAATTGACAAATTAATTACTAATAATTAAATTGTGACATGGACCAATCTGGCTAGCTAGCTGGTAGTAGGTGATTTCTCTTCCGATTGCTTTTTTTCTTCTTTGTTTTTAATTATTATTACTGCAATTAGTCCTCGTATCCAAGAATGACTACGTGACTTCATAGACAATACAATTATTTTAGGACAAAAAGATTTAAGTTAACAACTCATCAAAAGAGAAACACTTGACTAACATGTTTTTTTTTTTCTTTTTATACAGCAACGATAATCAATTTTATTAAGAAAAACATATCAAATGTACAAATTGTACAAGATTTGTATCAAAGATAAGCTAAATCTAGTCCTGGCAAAAGAGCAACGCTTTATTCCATGAACGATTCTAGATCTAACTAACTTCGCCGATTAAAAGGGGAAAATATTTTACCGTCTACAAGATGAACCTTTTATTACAGAAATTTGAAGATCTAACTTGCACGGCATATCTGGCTTCGAGTCTTCAGATCTTTCACGCCTACAAAATTAAATCAACAACTACTCCGTCTTTTATCTTTAATTCTTCGTGTTTATCTTATGAAATCTGCCAGAAAATCGCCGGAAATATTCTCCGTTTAATCAGATCCGTGAAGAGAATTTACAGCAACCATACCAAATAGATCTGTCGAGGAGAGATTTAAAATACATCAACCAAAAAAGAAAAGAAAAAGAAAGAAAAAAGGAAAAGAAAAAAAAGGAAAAGAAACACTTGACTAACACATTAGATCGTATGATTTGTATTCATTCGAGTTTATTTTCGTAGCAAAGCACTAGACAAAGATAAAATGAGTCATGCAAACGTATAATGCAACAACCATATGGTTGCCACATAAATGCAATATCATTTCCCCCAGTCCCCCACAAAATATCGCTATATTGGCCTACACTAATTTCGCATTTGCCTACGCCACTAAACATTCAGTCTGAAAATAGGTTACTGTTGTCGTCTACGGGGGATAATATATAAATTTGTAAAATAATAAATAAATGAATAAAATATATTTTCCCGATTTGGTCCAATTTCTTTTACAACACTAATTTCTTCCTTTTTTTTTGTTTGCCACCATAATTTGCATTTGTAACAATAATTTTCTTATTTCCCAACTCAAAAAACAAATAAACTCATTACACGAAATCCCTTACAATTCTATTCTGTCCTGAAATTCTTTTTTTTCTTTTTACAAAAAAAGGGTTTATCAACGGGAGACTTTATTTTTCCATTTACTGGCCACGTCAGCGAGTGCCTTGGTGGAAGAGCCCGTGTCCGACAGCACCTTGGCGGCCGCCTCCTTGAGCTCTCTCATTCTGCTCCGAAGCTTCTTCCCTTCCTCTCCTTCCATCAACCCTTTCACCACATTCGCCACCTCGACCCGACCCACGACTCCGGTCTCGTTACTCACCCTGGGCCGGAGCGCCACCTTGAGGTCCTCCGTCAGCATGACGGCGTTCATCTTCTGCTCCGCGTACAGCGGCCACGCGATCAGCGGCACCCCTTCCACCACGCTCTCCAGGGTGGAGTTCCACCCGCAGTGGGTCAGGAACCCGCCGGTAGCCCCGTGGGCCAGGATCTTCGCCTGCGGGGCCCACGACGGCACCAGGAAACCCCTCCCTTTGGTCCTCGAGACGAACCCGTCCGGCAAGAAAGCCAGCGGGTCGTTCTGGCTGTGGACGCTGAAGAAAGTGGCGTTGGATACGCCGTCGTTTGGGCTCCGTACCACCCACACGAATCTCTGCTCGCTCATCTCTAATCCCAAGGCCAGCTCCGTCAGCTGCTTCTGGGACAAGGTCCCACCGCTCCCGAAGGAAATGTATAAAACGGACCCACTCGGCTGATCGTCCAGCCATTTCAGGCAACCGTTTTCTTCCTCCTCCTCTTCTTGACCCGACCCGCCCGGTTTACTCTGTATGAGCGGCCCTACCGGGTAAACCGGCGGGTTTCCTTTTCCGGATGACTGCTGCAGAGCTTTCAAAGGCTCCGGCTCCAGATTCTCGAAGCTGTTCACCATGATGCCTTCAGCTAAACTGTACCTCCTGGTGTGATGAAGTAGCCATTTGTAAGCGTCGTTTTTCCTATCCTGGGCCGGGTCGAGAAGGTCGCTCCCGTGGATGGGAACCGAACCCGGAATCTTAATCGGGCCGGGTAAGTCCCGGAACTCCAAGTCCTCGGGAACCATTTCGTGGAGCTTTGGAAGGTAGCAAAAGAAGGAAAGCGCCGTGGCGGTGGAGGGGAAGAATATGTAGGGAGAAACTCCAAGTTCCGTCGCCACGTCGAAGGCGTCGGTGCCGAAAAGATCGACGACGAGGGCGGCCAGCTTGTGGGAGGCGGCCAGAGAGTTGAGCCAGTCCCGGAGGTGAGGGAGGGAGCGGGTTACGGTTAGGGAGATGCGGGTTTCGATCTTGACGTCGTCGGGTAAGTCGTCGAGGTTCACCGGAGGGAGAACGACGTGGGTAATGCGAGGGGAAGGTAGTGCATGGAGGAATGAAACCTGGGCTTTGGAGAGTGGGCCGTCTGTGGGGAGAACCACCGTGACGGTGAAGTTGTGGTGGAGTATGAGTCGTTTGGCGAACTCCACCAGTGGGATCAGGTGGCCCATCCCCGGCGACGGCAATATTGCTATATGTGCCGGTTGATCCATATTCATTCCCCCTTGTGTGTGTGTGTGTGTGTGTGTGTGTATTTGACTGTTGTTATAATGGGAAGAAAAAGGCAAAAAGGAATGAAGCTATGGTTTAGATTGTGAGTAGGAGAACAACTACAAGAATGAGTAGGGGTATTTATAAGGGGAAGCTTTGCTACATAGGTTCTATCATCTATGATATGATAGTAGGATATGAAATGGTGGGATTAATTAGGGAGTATATTGACCTCATTTAATGACAAAATTTGGATGATTGTGGTGCTTTTGTAAATTACTTACCATGATTAATAAGACAATCAGCTGTTGATGATGAATTTTGATTTGTTATCATAATGGTCTTTCAAACTAATTTGAATTTATTTGTAACGTTCATTGAATATATTTAGTCAACATTTGTTTTGTCTAATTAATATACAATCTTCCAATTAACATTTTAATGTGTATTGAGAAGTAATTTACATGTATATGCATGTCATATAACGCATACCTATTTTATTACGTATGCGTGACATGCGTATATGATGAGGCCATCGAGTATAATACCATAATTGAACGGAATGCTAGTAGAACAAGTTCATGAACTTATAAATATTTGAGAATTAGTTTTAGAAATCTTTATTCGTGTATAGCAGTGTGTATTCTCTTTCCCTAAATGATCCAAGTAAATTAATTATGTGAACGGACGAGGTATTTGTGATGATAATGTTTTTTTTTTCTTCTATAATTTGCATTAAGAGATCTCGTAATTTGGATATTTCTCGCATTTCATTCACGAAATAGGTGAGCATTCAGAATTTTTCTTAGAAAAAAAAATCAACTACCCGGTTAATTCTTGGCACTTTTATAGTTTTATATCTCTATGAATTTTGTTATCACTCATTAATCGGGAAAATATTCGATTTCAAGGGTAAATAATAACTGTGAAAATTTTTGATGTTGTAATTGTTCGTATATGTGGATTAATTCGACTGCCCATGTAATTTGATCCGTATCACACAATGTAGTTTGGAGTTTGGACCACCTGTGAAGATAAAATTTATTGCAGTAGATAGAACATCATCCTTTCATAAGAAAAACCAAAAAACTTTTAGAAAATGACACGAAGGATGGATATATGGAGGAATAGAGGCTAGCTAATCAAGTTTAACAAAGTAGAGCTTTGATGTGATAAAACAGATTTATTATCCAATTTAATTTTTTTTAGTTTTAGTTTATTTTGTACTAAAGATAAAAATCTACACTGGAAAATAATATTGGAATTACCAATAAAATTCTTTATGAATTACACATAATGATAATGAAACATTTTATCTTTCACAGGTGTCATTGACTCATTAATTGTACCAAATTATTTCCTTCTTTCTTTCTTTTTTTTTGTTCATAACAAAAAAGGGCTATACATCAGCAAGAGCCGTTGCATGCTTTAAAATTTTGACTAAACTAAGATAAAATCTCATCCCTAGTAATTTTGTAATGAATTATTGAATTAGATTATTTTTACCTTATTTTCAAATTCAAAAAAAAAGAGAGATAAATACTCTTCTATTTTGAAACAATGGTCCAATTTGATTTTTATTTTTAATATAATTTAAACTAAAATTAAAAATTAAAAATGAATAATAATTTTAAGACACGGTAAATGTTATTCCCTTTTCCATATTGACGAGATTACTTTCTTTTTCTTCTACTACGTAGAGACCCTAGTAAGTAGTGACAAGATAAACCCTCGTGTGGATTACGTAATGAAGACCTCATGCTGGTGTCAGAGGGTCCAACGTGTGTTTTGGAATTCGGAGATGGGAGTTCTGGAAGGAAAAGAAACTGTGTCTGTGTGTGTGTGCGGGCGTGTGGGGTGTCGTTTTAGTCAAACCCACCACCTCCCATGTATCCCAATCGATGATACATATTTTATTATACTAGTACTACTACAAGTCATTCCACAATCGTTATTATCAAAGACATATATTAATATGGAAAATTGGGATAACAAGACAGAGACGAAAAGATTCGCGACACTCAAATAAATGTCAAATTGTCATCATATCTTACCTCACGGCTTTCTTTTTCGCCACTAATTCTGAATGTTATTATGGATAATTATTATTATTAATATAAAAGTGAAGTGGTTATGTCACAAACTCATGATGATTTACGAGATCGAATAGGCAATATAAAAAGATTGCACACTATTGATCATTTTTATGTGTAATATTGTTGTTCATGGTTGGGTTATCATATACAAACTGTATTAAAAGTCTTCAAGTGGTGACACGTACGTATGATATATGAACATAACACATCCACATTATATATAGTACTTTGAATTATCCAAATCTGAAGAGAATCTTTAAGGGAGAAAGAAAACATCGCACGCTCAATCACTTTGGGATTGTTCTAATGATTGACAATCAGAAAGACTCAAAAAATTACGGGAAAAAAGTTATCATGATGGTGAACTTTTTCCAAAGTCAATCTCAGTGCTTCAAATAATGATAATAATAATCACCATCGTGTTCTTCTTGATCTTCTTCACCCGAAAACCTTCTTCATTCTTGTTGGGTTTCCTTCTAATCCTCTTCCTTATCAAGTACTCACTCCGTCTTAAAAAAAAAAAAGTCAATATTACATTTTCAAATTTATATTAAAATTAGTACAGATCTCAAAACTCAATATGAATTTTTTTTTTTGGACGGAAATAGTATTTTAAAAGAAATTGAAGGCTACACTAAAGTAAATAATATGCATGATGGTATTTTTAGTAGTGCGGCATAAATGTCAAATCTCATTCACCATTGAACCATTTATATAACTTTTATCAATTTAACAAACCAACAACATAAAATTGTATCAGATCAAGAAGCTGTGATCAATGGCCGTCAACCACAGGTAGTAGCAAGGCATTGCATAAATCGACGTAATGCAATAACTACATTAGCCAACCCGACTTACTGGAAGTTTACTCCGGCCAATGATTTCGCTTGGGTCCTACCTGCACTACTATGTGGTTTCTTCTTCTTTTTTTTTTTTTTTTTTTGGCCTCAGCAAGAAGCTTACTGTAGTTTACCTTTATTTTCATTTTTATAGCTTTTGTATTGTCATGAAAACGTTCGGTCTTTCTACGATTAAATTCAATTAATAAATAGGTTTATAATATTCTATTTCAACTTTCTTATCAATCTATACACAGGAGAGGGCGCCACACTAAGCTGAATCCAAATTAATTGGGAAAAATTGATTTTGTTGCATAATAATACTCCATCCATCCTAAAAAATAGTCCACATCTAATGAGACAGTTTTATATGTACTATAATCTCAAAATTCAATATAAACTATTTTTTTAAGGATGGAAAGGGTAATAAATAATTTCAAGCAAAAAATTTATTTAGTGGGACTGTTTTAATATAGATTGTTCGTTAGCTTTTGTCCTTTTGGGTAAGGGGATGGCGGGGGTCGTTGATCTCAGTTGAAGCAGCACTAAACTCTATGCTTAAACAACTGATTTGATGCCATAACGCACACACATTCATAATAATTAAAACTTCCTTTGTTCTAAAAAAAAGTAGTCACATATTTTTTTCAAATAGTATAAATAATCTCAAAACAATTTTATTTTTTGGGTTAGAAAAAGTATGAATTATAATTTGTTTAAATTATTGTCACAATTGAGCTTCCTCCATGTCATAGTCCCAAAATTAAGCTGAGCGTGAAACGTATAAGATGCTGCTTGTAAACTGTTTCTATTCGTACAACACAATATAGATACAACATACCTAACGATTTGACAAATAAGTAAAATTGCAATCTTAGCAAGAAGAATTCCCCTGCAAAGCTATGATAGATGGAATTTCTTAGAATAACTGAATAAGAGGGAGCAGTCGCACTAGTGCGATCCGATCCTGTAGTTTGAATGTTGGCATTTGTTTAATTCCGTGTGCATCGTGTTGGATTTAAGACTTCTAAGTAGATGTCCCCGTGGATCATTGTGCGCTTATAAATGTAATATTGGTAAGTGATTAGAAAGATTTTGATTTGAACCATTCTCTTTATCTTCCAAGTTCCAACATTTCCATTGAGAAGATGAATATCAATTATTAAAAGTAATTATAATGCCCCTAGCTCATTTTGTAAAATGGTATTTCTTTAGTCCTAAAATTACTGTCCCAACAAAGGAAATAAGAGGGGATCATTACCATTGAAAAGGAAGA